CTCATTGTGGGAACTGTTGGGTTTCTCTATATTTTGATTTTAAGAGATAATGTATATTATGATTTGGCGCTATGTCCATGGCCAACCTAAAGGAGTGGATGGCAACTTATTTGAAGCCACAAACATGAACAGTCATAGGACAAATTCAACTTAATTTTATGAAAAACAATGGTTATAAAAAACAGAAACTGGTATATTACGGATGCAGAACAGCTTCATAGCAGATAAACTAGGTAAGTTGAACGCAGGTTTTCTAATTTCACTGCACCATAGACTGTGTATAAAAAGGTCTGCACAGAAGGTCCAGCACATAAACAATAAAAAAGTGACATTATATTGAAGATCTTTTTCTCTGGGCCCCTGTCTTATGTGACCAACATAGACAGTGATGGCAATTCTAGCCATTCATTGACGTGCTGTTAGAATGGTTGACACAAGTAGAGGAAGATATATAGGGATGCTGTGGGTGACATCTTCAGACTTGGGGGTGACAATTGCTCATGTTACTCTGTTAGTGTTTGTATATTGTTCCACCTTCTGGTCTCCTTGATTCATCAAGTCTACTGCCTGAGTTCTCCTTTCACCAGCTTCTAGAAAACTTTCATAAGAACTACTATTTTGGGACTGTAGGTGCTAATGCTGACTTGTCATGCCAAAAAGTAATCATGTTAGTCAGACAAAAACAGAATATACGTCTTATATCATGACAGCTGTATTTATCTGGATCAATGTGCACAACACATAATGTCATGTCCTGTTAAATATATGTTTTTGGCGGTAAGGGCATTATTTTACATGCTCTATGCTGTAGATAAAACATCCAATCTTTATTTTTTTACCACTTTAAAAGCATTTCTGTGTATATAGGTGAACATCCCTTTTCATATTCATATTATCATGTGCATGTTTTATGCAATTGTTATTAAGAAAGAAGTTCAGCATTCAACAAAATAATATCTGTTCGATGCACATACAGTACCATTTCAAATGGCTACCCATGGCTGTTTTTGTTGGAGCCTCATATGGTTAACATACAGACAGTAACTGTCAAGAGCACAACATTGTTGAATAAAAATGTAATTCCTCTTTCATGTCCATGTTGTTTTTCTTTGTTGTGATTTTGTTTGTTTCCTGTTCATGACTGATGTAAAGGCAAAGTAAAACATCTATGACAATACTCCTATATGCTGTACAACAAAATTTAAGTCTCTAATTCCAGCACAAATTACTGAGAAGAGCTAATAATCTGTCATTTGAAAAATCCCAGGTAATCCCAGACTGATTCAATAAAGCCTGTGCTTCATTACCTGAAGAGACAGAAGCAACTGAGACAACCTAAATCCACACAAGAACTGCTAAATGTTATTCATGACAGGTAAAACCTATCTGCCAAGTACCTTGAGAAACTGTGTGCACAATATCGCTGCAAATGTTCTTAATTTCTGTAACAGTCAGTGTGCACATAGTGAAAGATCAATCCTTTTTCCAAGGAGAAATAATTCAAAAATAATAAAATACAAAATAAAGCTTCTACATAGTTCCTGGGAAAATTTTCCAACTGACAATGTTTGGTGAATAAAGCATGGCGGACTGCAGAAGAATTGTCTGATCACATGTTCAGTTTAGATGGATACAAATGTAGTTTCATCTCAAATTAGAGAGCGGATCTTATCTCATTCCTCAAATGCAGGTACAAATCCAATGCTTGATAAGCTGGATTTTAGACTTGTTGCTGATATCAGTCTGGATGGTCCATGTCATTTTTAGTCTGGAGCACACAGTGTCCATTTCTTTCAAAAAAGACCTGAAACACTGACTCATATGATCACAACACACGTTTCCACTGTGTATGGTTCATCCCGGATGCCTTTGAGCCCAGAGAAGTCGACGGTGCTTCTGGACATGGTTAACATAAGGCTTCCTTTTGGCACAGTAGTTTTAAATGGCATTTGTGGATGTATTTATGTATTGTAGTGCTTGACAAAGGTTTGCCAAAGTAATCCTGAACCTATAACCTGAATGTGGTTATATTGCTTATAGATGAATGACGATTCTTGATGTAGTGTTGTCTGAGGGATTGGAGATCTCAGTTAGTCATTTTAGGCTTGCACCCTTGCCACACCAAAATTCCTCCAGATTCCTTGAATCTTTTAATAATCTTATGCATTGTAGAGGATGAAATATCCAAATCCCTTCTTATTTTTCTTTGAGGAACACATTTCAATATTTTTTCACACATTTAATTTCTCAACTGGCAATCCTCGGCCCATCTTTGCTCCTAACGGACTAGGCCTTTGCTGGATGCTGCTTTTGTTCATCTGTTGACATCACCTATTTCAAATCACTTTTTATTTTTTATTTTAATTCACATTTTTTTTCCATCATTCTCCCTCATTAGCAGCCCTAAATTGACCCCATCCCAACTTTTTTTGGAATGTGTTGCAGACCTGAATGGCAGGAATGGATGTATATTTACAAATAAAATGAAGTTGACCAGACAAAACATAAAATATCTTATGTTCATACTGTCTGAAATAAAATACAAGTAAAATTTAATTTAGAGTCTTTGTCTATGTCTTTTTTATTTGAATTTTCCATACCGTCCCAACTTTTTCTGACTTGGGTTTGTATGTGTTCAACTTAACACATACAAACCCAAAAGCCTTTCCTATTTGAGGTGTAAAAGGAGTTGACCACATTTTTGGGAGGCTAAACTTGCATGAGAAACAAAATAACTTGATAGAACCCCCTACAAAATTTCTACGAAGCTACCATGGCAACATGTTTGAAAATCGGTAGGTATATGTATCTTGTCCAGACTCACAAAAAAGCCTCCTGGACCCATACCCTAAACCCAACAGGAAGTCAGCCATTTTTAATGTAATGTACAATTTTTTAAATGTCCGATGAGAGTCAATACATAAACACATCTCAAGGACAATATCTGGTGCTAGAAAATGGCATAACAGTGCCACCTACTGGAAACAGGGATTTACATGAAATGTTAACAGCCGACCCCAGACCTTTTAGCTGAATTGTAAGACATAATCAACAAGCATCCTCCAGAGTCATCTGATGGACACAGGGATCCATTGAGTCCGAAGGGAGTGCCTATTAATGGGTCTGTTGACTGGGATGTGACTCCGAGCTGTCCTGTCACTCCCTGCCTGAGTGCCCATTTATACCTGCTGGCAGGTCTAGTTATCATTTTTGCTATCTGGAACGAAAAATCAGTCTACTCATCTATTATGATATCTATTATTCTATATTTGATACTTTACTCAGCTGTACACATTTGTCGTTGTCTGAAGCCTATATAATGGCTTTCCAGTGATCTGTTATCTCTATATTAACATGCTCTGGTGATCTGCCAAGGAACTGCAGATGACAGTCAACATTTCACTCAGGACAATTCATCAAATGGTAACATTTATGTTCAGTAGTGTACATGATTCCCTTACCAAAAAAATATTAAAATCAGCAACAACATGGACTGGTTCAAAAGGCAAAAAAAATGCCAACTCTGTAACTGTAAAACTGTAAAACATGAGAATATATTGGTTGGGATAGTTTTTTAAATGTGTCAGAGATGTGGGTGGAATGCAAAAAATTAAACAAAAAAAAACAATAAAACAAACTGAGCAACAAACCACCATCTTAAACATTTAAAATCCACATTTCAGAAGCTCTACTTCAAAGATGAGAGAAGCATTTGATGGGATAATGGGTTGGTATCCACCTGCACCATACGCGTAGTCCGGCGAGCAGGTCAACCGTGCCACTTCGCCAATGCTCATCCTAGCTATACCTTCATCCCAAGTACGGATGACTTCTCCCATTCCAAGTTTGAAAACAAAGGGCTTATCCTGGTCACGCAACCACCAGCCCTCTCACTTGAGGACCTCTCACCTTTGGAGCCATGGGTCCACCTACTGCGCATGTTGGACCATGAGCGAGGCAGGAGTGCCCGGGGGGACCATGCCAACGTCCACGTGGAGATTCCGGGCTTGATTCAAGCCCATAACCTGAGACTCCACCCCACCCTTTATTTCCTTTTATTCCCCTATTTTTTTTCTCTACTCACCCCAACCGGTCCTGGCAGAGGCTGTCCACACCAAGCCCGGTTCTGCTGGAGGTTTCTTCCACCTGGGAGTTTTTCCTCCCCACTGTTGCTCATGCTTGCTCGGTGTGGAACAAGTTGGATTTTGTCTTTCTTAAGATCTTGGACTTTTGTGCAGCACCCTGAGACAACTGTTTGTTGTGATACTGTACTATATAAATTAATTTGATTGATAAAGTGTAGTCCAAGACAAGTGAGATGTTGACATTGTGGGATACTGAGACAAAGAAATTTATGATCACACTAAATATAGGTGAGTTCCACATATTGAAAATGTGTCATTAGTATGACATATTTATAACATTATTAGAGAACATAAAACATATAGGAAAACACCAGAGCAGCTGACAAAGACTGACACGTCATTATATACATCTATATTCTCAGGAATAAAGCAGGTCAGAGAGGTCCATATTTTTACTAAAGATGATGGAAAACTCTTTGGAAAGTAGTTGATGGAGCCTTATACCATCACGAATGTACACCCAGTGTTCCCCTGTCCAGTCGTAGCGCTTTGGTCCACTGCAAACACAAGAGAATGAAAGAAATTAACCAAGATTTTTCAAGAAAAAGAGAANAAAAAAAAAAAAAAATTCTGTAGCTAACCATCTCATAAATGTATTTCAATGAGCATAGGTAGTTCTCTTTTTTCTGGACTTTTCTGGTGATTTATGACTTCTAAATTACTTAATTATGTATCCTGTTATGTCTTCTCTATTCTAACTTTGCTTTTATGCTTTTAAGATGTACATAGTGCACAGCAAATGCACTAAAAGCAACTTATGTTTAAAGAGCTCATATATACATTGTTTGAATTTCCCTCCAGGGAATAATAAAGTATTTCTGATTCTGATTATACTAGCTTTGATAGTCTCAGAGACAGACATGCACCGACCAGCTACAACATACAGCAGCAGTGGATAAAAGAAAAAAAAGAAATGCAGGGCTTTGAATTACAGCTCAGTCCACCTCAGAACTGGCAGATGAAAAGTGAGCACAGACAGTTACAATCCTCTGATTAGGATGAAATGTTTCATAGTATCAACAGGGGAAATAAAACATTTGTGTATTTAATCATCGATGGCTGATTTCTACTCTGCCATCATCTAATCTCTACAACATCCAGTTAAATAATTGTGGTTATTTCATTGAAATTAACAGACTCGGTTTTGAAACATTAATATGCTAAATACTCGTGAGTGTGTACTTAAATAGATTTTACAGATCAGGTCACAAGTACAAACTAGAAATACTGCACTGCAGTTGTATCTCTCTACCAACCTGTGTAATTTCATACATTTGTTTTGCAGATTCAAATAAGGTCACCATGACTAATCAGTTAATTACATCATTCATTTCTGCTTTACAGGAGAGGCTATGTAGAGATTGGCAGAATCTGCTGATCTCCCTCGACCACATTCCCCTTGAAACATATACATATGAGAGAAAATTCACTGTGTTTGACAATTTCAAGGACCGAACTCTTTTAACTGTGCGTCTTGCTATCTTGCCACCAGACACTTCAATATCAGATCAATATCATTCCAATCAATGTTATTTTCTGTGGGATTGATGGTGATTGATGATTGATTATTTTAACAAAATAATTTGAGTTTATCCTTCATGTCTTTATCTTAATATTTACAGCAATTTATGACACATGAATTGTTAGATTTTGTTGAAAACTGAGATGTTTCCCCCTGAACTGTATGCATGCAAGTAAGTGAATGACAATAAGCCCAAATGACTTATTGTCATTTGGGCCAGTGTTTTTTTTATAGTTTGTGCCAAAAAAGGCACAGACATGTAACAGCATGAACTGTATATATTTTTTTTTATTCCTGAGTTGATTTTATTAGAGACGTAACCTTGCTGCATTTGCACTTTTTACACTGTTATGGATGTTCTGTTGAAGGACGGTAAATAATTGATATTTCTAATCGAGTTTCATTCATTTGATTCGTGCTTTAACACAGAGGTGACGATTTTTATGGGTGGAAGACTGATAACTGAAAAAGAAGTTTCATTAGAGATGCATAAGAGATTCATATTAAAGGAATCATGCATTATACAATATGTAACTTAGATGTTTTAATTTTTTTCAGCACAGTTAAATCAATAGAGCTTTGGGTCTATGTATGAGATGTAAAAGTGTTAAAAAATGTGTAAAAGAAATCCTCTGCTGTTATGAAGGTGATGATGAAGATTAACTGGATCGAATTTCATAAAATGTGACTTTGCAATTTAGAAAAACTGTAATAATGGGAAGTATTATAGATCAGATCAGTGTTTAATATTTCATTTTGGTTTGCTGCAGGTGACATTTACATTGTGGTTAAAGCTAAAATCATTGTTAGAATCAAGTAAATACTTAATGCAACAGCTCTCTCACCGAGGCAGGTGACTGAGAACAGCTTTGTGATAGTGTGATATGTATATCTTACCTGGTGGGAGACGAAAGCCAGATCTGTCTGTTTGGTGTTTGTTTGTTGATGACGTAGGTCCCATGGTTCCCACCTAACTTCACCGTCAAAACACCACTCTGTACATGAATCAAAGACAGAACACACACATTTAATCAATCACAAACATAAAGATACAAAACTAAATATCAACATGCAAAATCTCTGCCAAATTCCCTTGAGATGTTCCTGAGACATTACATTCAACATGTTTTTGAGGTCACGGTGACCATTGACCACCAAATTCCATTAAGGGATCCATGAGTCAAAGTAAATATTGCATAATGTAATAAAATTTCCTATGGGCAGTCCTGATATCACATTCACAAGAACATGAGGTCACTGTGACCGCGACGTTTGACCTCCAGGGACCAAAATCTCTTATTCTTTGAGTCCAAGGCTCCGATCGAATAAACCTAAATCTCTAAAGGGTAAGGAAAAGGAGCTTATCTCCTTAAGCATAGGAAAACATTGGACTATCCTTTATGGAGAAAATGATGCCCCACAATTCACAGCAGCAACATTTAGGCAACACAACCTTATAGTTGCACCTGGACACAGCCACGTTAATACACTGCTCAAACAAAATTAAGAGAACACTTAAATCACACATCAGATCTTGATGATCGAATTATTCAAGTTGGAAATCTTTACTGATGTACATTGTATATTTTGTTAAGAACAATATGACGTAACAATGGTCAATGGAAGCCAAAATCATCAACCTATTGAGGGCAAAACCAAAACTAAACTCAAAGTAAAAATTGAAATCAGAGGCTCATCCAACTTGCGTGAATTTCATCACGGCAATTCATAATATGACTCAGTAGTTTATATGTCCTCTGCCGACTCATCTGGGCATGCTCCAGATGAGTCGACAGATGGTGTCCTGGGGATCTCTTCCCAGACCTCGATTAGAGCATTAGTGATCTCCCAGAGTGTCTGTGGTGGTACTTTGCAGCGTTGGATGCACTGCTACAAAATGTCCAATAGGTGCTCAAGGTCAGGGAAAGTGAGGGCCAGTCAATGGCCGGGCATTGTCCTTCACCAGGAGGAACCCGGGGCCTACTGCACCAGCATAAGGTCTGATAATTACTCTGAGGATTTCATCCCGGTACCTAACAGCACTCAGGGTACAGTTGGCCATGATATGGAGGTCTCTGTGACCCTCAAAGAATATGCCTCCCCAGACCATCACTGACCCAACGCCAAATAAGTAATGCTAGATGATGTTACAGGCAGCATAACATTCACCAGGGCGTCTCCAGACTCTGTACGGCTATCACATGCTCAGTGTGAACTTGCTGTCATCTGTGAAGAGAACGGGGCACCAGTAGTCGACCTGCCAATTATGGTGTTCTCTGGCAAATGGCAGCTGCAAGGTGCTAGGCTGTGAGAATAGGTTGTATGTGCCACATTCATATCACGTGTCATATTTATTACTTAGTCATGTTTCAAACAAATACTGCAATTTTGCACCTTGTCTCTTTTGTTGTTTCTTTCTCTTTCTCTTTGACCTGCTGCTGTGATCAAATAATTTCCCAAATTGGGATCCTTGCCACAGCCAGCTGAAGGCCTACAATTAGTGTTTTAACCAAGGTATGGCATGATGTTCTACTAGGGCTGGGGTGATGCGTTGACCTCATTGATTATGTAAATACGTTGAATTGCGAGTGGATGCTATTATTTAGCATACATCACCAATAGGCGGACTGCGGTCTTCTAGTTCCAGAAGCCATCAATACGGACTCAGACCTGTGATTAGATTGTGTGTTTCTATTTTAACCTGCACTTTTTCAATCTTTACGGTGGTAAATCCTGGCAGCACACGGTAGGGTTTACATTACTGAAAGTTGGAACAAAGACAAAAGTTAAAACTATTCAGTTGTTGATATTTTTTTAGATTGTTTATATGTGTAATGTAGTTTTATAATAAGAAAAAGAAGAAAAGGGGAAACTCAAACTACATCTTTTTATTTATTGTTTCTAAAATTAAGCACTTTATTTTAGATTCCTTTTACAAAAAATCTTTAATGTTTTTAAATGCAAACCTTATTTTACTTGCAAGGAGAATTGTTTTCATTACTATTTTATCATTAGAGTACCCTCCAGTTCAGTGTGAAAATGAAAAATACACATTGTTGAAATACTATTAAATTGTACTTTTGGCGGGATATGTGACTGTAAAAGGTAGATTAGCAGTTCACAATGGGCTATTTTTAGATATGGAATAATGCCTTGCAGCGCATTTTAGTATCTTGTCAGATTTGTTTGTTTTTAGGAGATGATGATTAAACAAATATAAATGTCACAGGTTTTTAAAAAATTTTTATGAATAAAATGGATAATCGTTAGAATAATCTATAAAAGATAATCAATAGGTGCAGCCCTAATTTCTAGCACCCCTTACAAATTTGAAAACGAAGTAGCGATCACAGTGCATTTCACCTAGAATTGTGAAATTTGGTAGGCAGAAATATCAGACTGAGCCTTCAAACATGTCTCTTGGGTTTGTGACCTTAGTCCACAATTTTTAATTATGTTAATTATGTGTGAAATGTGTGAAATTTATCTGAAAGTCTTTATTCTCTAAAAGTCTTTAACTATTTTGCAGATTGACAACACCTGCTTCAGTTATATAACATTATAAATGTTACAGCTAGCTGTTCCACAATGACAGTGAAAAAACAGAGACAGACTTACAGTGAAGACAACATCGTAATCAGCTCCAGTGAAAGCTTCTTCCGTCAGGTCTTCAAAGTAATCAGCCAGAGCACCCAAAGTCTCCTCTGCTAGTTTCTCATATGCTGCTTCGGACAGCTCACTTTAAGACAGCAACACAAAGTAACATGTTTATTAACAACTCAATACCAGCAATGATGCTTAGAGAAGAATGGAACTTGGTATTACCTAATCTGACCAGGGGCCAATTTCTCCAGTCTTGGTAGTGTCAGATGGACGTTTTTCTTCCAACTATGGCCATCAACACTGCTCTCAACCCACTGACATAAAAAATCTGAGGTCAAACACTCAACAAAGTGTACAAGTACAAATAAGACTCACTGGCTTCTGACAAAAAACAAGTATAAAAGAAGTTAAGCAAGTGAAAACTAAAAACTTAAACCTCGTTAAACTTAGTATGGAAGCAGGACTTACTTTATTCAGAGGGGGGCATAAAGGAGCGCGGCCTGGCAGCACGTGTTTGGTGAGCAGACTGATTTTCGGGAGGTATAAAAGGCTCCTCACCTAGAAAATGAAAGGACAAAGGGTTGTCACGATACCAAAATGTTGTAGTCAATACCGTTACCAGGAAATGCACACTAAAACAAAATAATAAATCCCATTTACTTAAACACAAATATTTGACATGCAGAGCTGATCTCCACAATAATCGTCTGAACTCATATCATGTTCCTGGATAAACGTGACCTTGCTTTTTCTGCAACAATGAAGTTAAAACACTGCATGGCATCACAATCTGCATCAAAAAAAGCTTCTCTTTAATCTGCAGGACCACGTGTGTGTGTAGTTAAAATATTTTTTTTTAATTCTCCAAAGTGGTTAACAAACACCTGTGCCTAGGGTTGGGAACAAAAACTCTGTTCTAAATTAGAACCGAATCCAAAATGCCAAGTACCAGTTATCAGGTAGAATTTCGGATCTGCTTATCAGTTCCTAAACTGAAAGGACGCCGCATGTATCTGCCAGGACCTGCCTACGTGACTACGTCATGCACCACACAACAGCCTTTCCATTGGTTTAGACGCAACCTAGCATGCATGGCTAAGATTAGAGGTTGATAAACATCAAAAGTGTTGCTTCATTTTCAAAAAGACATGACAACAAGGCAAAGTGTAATGCATCTGGGAAGCTCACCAAACATTTGAGGCAGCAAGGCGTCGATCTGAAAGACTGTACAGAATTTAATGTCCTGCAGTCTCTGAGCCTGAAGTGTCATCTTCAGCTAGCGCTAGTAGCACTTCATGAGCACCTCCAGTATAGCTAGGGACAGCAAGCCGTGATGGCAGCGACGCACTGTTCTCACTGGCATTCAAGGGAAAGCTGACTAATATGACTTGTATGATTTATGTCAGTAGGTTTCCTATAAATAGGACGTACAACAATCAGTTCAAAACCCTTCATCCACAAATGGTTCAACTACTACTGATTTCCACTATGTTGTTATGGAATACCGTATATGAGAGATTGTGGTGAACTTCAGTTGTCGTGAAAACTCAAAAGGTTTTAGTTTGTCCTGTTTGGACGACTGTAAAAAAAACATGGTGGCCTCCACAGAGAGGACCCCCCTCCTTGTAAAAATATTTAAATATAAAGGGCCAATTCTATAGTAAGGAAAATACCAATTCATACAATTAAGATGAAACACACCAGTAAAACATCACTAGGATTATTTTATATTAAATTTCTTCCAAAAAACACCCTTTCAACTAAATCTTACACACTGGACCTTTAAAACAAAATCAGTGCGGGTTACTAACTGCATTAGGCTTAAGTTGTGTTCAGAAAAGTACGACTTGAGCTGCTCTCTACAGCATAATACTGTAGTTTGCTCCATGTTTCTTTTTTAATTAATTTAGAGATCAAAAATGTGTCTCGTGATCAGATCTCACCTCCCCGCTCTATATCAACCAACACGTACATAATTTATGTTCATGAAGACTACGTTATGTCGTTTTTACCCAGTCTGAGTACACATTTATGTCCAGTGTGTGTGTGTCGGCACGATCGAGCAAGAGAGAGGTAGACAAGTCAGATGAGTATGAAAGAATCTCATGCAGTTACAAAGTGTAAAAAGATTAGACCAATTTAAGGAAACTCAAAATGCGTCCTGGGCCACATATATATCGCATATTTTTATATGCTTCTTGGTGTTCAGGTTGTTTGTAGCCGCAGCCACACAATCTATACTGATCACCACATAATGACCAACAATTTTCTTAAATTAGTTATCTATTTCTTCAATATAAAGCTGTAAGACAGTCGCTCTGGTCTTTCCGACTTCACACTCAATACTGCTCTCACTAGCTCGCGATGACACACAGGGTAGTCGGAGGTCGGGAGACGTCGCTACCTGGTTACAGAAGCTCCCGATTCTCTGCGTTGTCACTGCGTTGAACTGTGTTTTCGCACGTTGACACATACGTGAAGAAATACAAGCAACTTTAGTGAACAAAAACATGGTGCTGCTGCTTCTTCTTCTTAGTAGTCTTCTTCTTCTTCTGGTGTTCATTGGCTGTTGGCAAACCAGCTTATAGGCGCATTACCGCCAACTTCTGGACTGGAGTGTGGAGCAGTAGATTGGCAGCAAACAAAACAAAATTTAATTATTTCCTTAAGTCGTGTTTTTCTGAAATATATACGGAAGCCCTAAAGGGTCATACATACATACATTTTATTCCACCCGTTTTCCCGTGATAACGAGATAATTAATTCGAGATCTCGAGAAAACAAAACATATTAAATAATTGCAGGAAACATCATTTAGTGTAGCAATGTCAGAGGAGCAGGAGGATATATCGATATAACAAAGATCGTTTTCTCGTGATAACGAGATAATCCTTCCGTTTTCTCGTGATAACGAGATATTTTTCTCGTTATCACGGGAAAACGGGTGGAATAAAATGTATGTATGTATGACCCTTTAGGGCTTCCATACTGAAATACTTAATTGGTTTAACCACTTTGCTTAGTGGTACCTGTATTTTGATTGTTGTTCGTTTGAATGACTGTTTTGCTCATATGTCTGCCTTCTCATTGCCTTCCACTCCTGAGTGAGCTGGAACCCACAGGAAGGAGATATCCAACCCTCTCTAATGTAGTTTGAGGAGCACATGAAACATTTCAAAGGCAATATCTTGTCTGCATTATGATTTTAATGATTTAAGACAATAGCTGACATGCTGTCAGATGCAATGACAATCCCACTGGCCTGGCCACTGTCCCCCGTATTTACCTAAATTCTATTATAGAGTCCTGTGTTTTATTAGAAACCTGAATATCGCCCTTCATCCTACATCACCTGAGACCCTCTGTAGTATTATTTCTCACCTATTTTCAGGGGCATAACAGTTGTTCTCATTTCACCTACTTTCTTTTGAATACTATGAAAGTATTTACCCTTATATCCTCTGTCTTGTAAGAAGAAGACATTGTTCGACTTGTAAGTTCTGTTCATCTTCAAACCAAAACCAGCATAATTGAAAGATCAGTGACAAAGATTTGTCTTCTTTCTGAAGCAACTAACTAGTAAGGAATAATGGTAAAGACCCATAATCATGTTTTTGAGTCAAGGAAACACAGTTTATGGATTATAGGGAATTCTTGGACTAAAAATGGATTGTTTCAATCAGTATACTTTGTTTCTAATGTAATGGCTCCTTATGTAAAACATATTAGGAATTATTTTGTCTTCTACCAGAAACCATTGTGTGTGTAAGCCGTTTTTGTTATTGTTTTGTTTTGTTTTGTTAAACCTCCCACCAATCCCACCCAGGGAGTAGTACTGCTGTACTGCTGTCAACGAGGCTAATATAATCAGGGGGTCACTTGACACAGGTGTTGCTGGTGAGAAGCAAACAGTGGTAATGGCTGTGAAATGAATGTTATGATTTCTTTTGTCTATGTTTTTGGGAAATATACTTATGACAGAGAAAATGGTTGTGCTCTGTTTATTTTGGAAACCCTGTAGATTGTAATTAGTACATCACCTTTGTTTTGGAAACTGGACACTCCATAATTTTTTACATGCATCTTAACAAATAATCAGCAACTATGTATTTGATTCATTGGGTCACTTTAGTCAAAAACGGCTACATTGAGGAAAGTGTTGGATTTCTGCTGTCGTTTGACTGTGTTCTGGGACCAGCTGCTGTAGGCTTCTATGCCTCACCTGTTGCACAATGGAGCTGTAAGAGCTGCGGAACATGCGTGGCAACTTTTGAGGCGAACAGGACATCAGAACACCTGTATGCTGGCCAACACCAAGGTATGTGTTGCGCTACCTCCTACAAGAGAATGGCCATTGTTGTAAATGTGTCCACACATAACTTTGCATGTAAAAACCAATGCATTTGTGGTGACTATATAAAGGAACTGAGCACATATACGCACATATAAAGCTGAAATCGCATTATTCACAATGGATGAAAATCACATTCCTGATTCTGAATACTAAACTGAGACAGAGACTAAGGTTGATTCAGTGATATGAACTACTCTGTAAAAAAGCGGACTGGTAAACTGACAAAAAAAACACTTATGGAAAATGTTATCAACCTGCAGAAAGAGAGAAAGAAAGGTGAAAATTTAAAGAGCACACAATCTCAAAGACATAATTGTTGATTTGATGGGTGATAAAAAGCTACTTAAAAAAGGTGAAAGGTACATTTGAAAAATGTAATGTTCTCTGTGGTGAAGCAAAAGAAAAACATTCAACTTTGATGGGGTTGTTTCCTACAGAGGAGATAGAAAAGCATGTGTGGTATAAGGTGAAAATGCTCAGTGTCAATTACTTTATTGCAGATACAAACAAATGATTGTCTTGCAATGAAAGTTGCCTTCATGCTGAAATTGTCAATATTCATAATGATAGGGTAATGTGTAGCCTCAGGACAGCATTTCAAATGTTGAGTCTAATACTTTCCATAAAGGTTCAGGTCGAAAAAGTAGCATCTGCACAGCTTCAAGCAGAGGCAGAAAAGGCTGTACTCGTGCTGCAGCACTACAGAAAAAACATGTTTTGGAGAAGCAAGTGGAGCAACTAAGAAAAAAGAGGCAACTTGAAATTGAAACTGAAATAGCAGTATCTACAGTAATATAATTAGTTTTAAATGCTTCATATCATGGCAGTGATTCAAATGCACATTCGGATGGAATGGAATCCTATTCTCATGCAATACAACCCACAGCAAAAAGAATCATCTCAGCAAAAATATTCAATGTCTGCCAATGCTCAGCCAACAGTGAAGAAAACAATAGAAGCGGACAAATATTATAATAAAAATGCAGCTAAGCAGACAAGCACCAATGGCAAACATCTGGTCGAATAAAACCACGTTAATCAGATTTAAATTCTGGTGGTCAGCATGCAACTCATTTGCAAGGCAATCATCAAGTACCTGGAGATCTCTACAGTCTGTATAGTCTCAATCTATGCGTTTATTGATTGCTTTCTATTCTGAAAGTCAAATGGAAAGACTGTACTCTGTTACTGTATATATGTATATACTTTATTTTATTTTATTTTATTCTATTTTATTTTATTCAATTTCTTATATATTGTTGTTTTTTATATTGTTGTTTTATGTACATAAGTAGTGCACCAATGACACCAAGGCAATTTCCTGTATGTGCAAACATACCTGGCAAATAAAAGAATTCTGATTCTGATTCTGAACTTCAAAGAAAAATCTACATACATGGGCCACAGTACTAATTCCAAGTATCTAAATATCAAAGGCTTGGAAAGATCTGAATTAGCTGACGAGCAGATTTTGAGCTTCGTATTATGTTCACTAAGAAGGAAATGCCAGTGTTGACAAACTATATCATTACCAAAGAAGAGTTATTTAAGTGGTCCTACCTGAAAGATGTACATATTCAAAGTTTTAATGCTGATGTTGATTCGCTGATTGGCACAAACGCCTCAAAGTTAATGGAACCATGGGAAGTGATCAACAAGGAGAGGGACCATATGCAGTAAGAACTCTACTGAGCTGGGTGATTAATACACCTTTACATGGAAACAGTGTTGAGCAGTGTGAGAGTGGCTACCCTACTGTTACTGTTAATCAAATTTAATTGGAAGAGCTGTCGATAAGGCAATACAATCATGACTTCAGTGAAAACATTTCTAATGACATAGAGGAGATGTTAATAGAAGAAAGGAAATTCATTGAAATAGTGGAAAATTAAGTACAGTTTAAAGATTGGTCAACACAAGATCAAGTTACCTTTCAAGACACTCCATGTAAACATGCCAAACAACTTTTCTGTTCCTAAACAGCATGTCCCTGCACTGAAAAGAAGACTTCTGAAGCATGAAAGTTTCCATAGAGTTTATTCAAACGTCCTTACTGCATATGGGTATAGGGAGGCTGATGATCATTCATGGATGGACGTGCTGATGTATTGCGGTGAGCGTATAGCGTATTGTGTCACTTCCGGTGTTAGCTGCTGTGTGTTGTACTGATCTTTTCTCCTCTTCGTCTCTCCCTTTTCCCTTTCACATCTGAATCATTGAAGCTAATTTGAAGTTACTTTCATAGTTGTGCTGTCTTGACTTGTCGCTTATGCACCTCCTTGTCTCAGCGACTTGTTCGTAAAATCACTGTGAGCTACACACTACCCGTGTTAGCTAAAGCAATTTAGCATCAGCATTAGCAGCTAACGATGGCTTCTCCCTCTCACTCCCCTGCTCAGTGTGCTTGATGTACAGTTACTCCCCTGCCTCCTTTAGCGATAACGATACATGTGTTAAATGTAGCTTATTTGCCAGGATGGAGGCAAGGATGAACCTTTTAGAGTCGCGGCTCTGCACCAGAGATCGTAGATCGTGTAGCGATGTAGTGAGCCAGTCCCCAGTAGCCGGTGCGAGCCACATAGCTGTAGCTTCTCCAGCCCCCCCAGCAGTTCCCAAGCAGCCGGGAAGACAGGTCGTCTGGGTGACTGTGCGAAACAAGAAGCGTAGCCCTAAACCGAAGCCCCAGGTTCACCACCAACCCGTTCACGTTTCTAATAAATTTTCCCCACTTAGCGACACACCCGCTGAGTAGCAAACTCTGGTAATCGGCGACTCTATTTTAAGGAACGTGAAATTAGCGACGCCAGCGACCATGGTTAAATGTATTCCCGGGGCCAGAGCGGGCGACGTAGAATCCTATTTAAAACTGCTGGCTAAGGGTAAGCGTAAATACAGTAAGATTATTATTCACGTCGGCAGTAATGACCTGCGACTACGTCAGTCGGAGGTCACAAAAATCAATATTGATTCGGTGTGTACATATGCAAAGTCTATGTCGGACTCCGTAATTTTCTCTGGACCCCTGCCTAATGTTACCAGTGATGACACGTTTAGCCGCACGTCATCCTTTCACCGCTGGCTGTCGAGGTGGTGTCCARATAACAACGTGGGCTTCGTTAACAATTGGAGAACTTTTKGGGGGAAACCTGGTCTGATTAGGAGAGACTGTATTCATCCCACTTGGGATGGAGCAGCTCTCATATCTAGAAACATGACAACGTTTGTTAGAAAGTCCACACCCTGACAATCCAGAGTTGAGACCAGGAGGCAGAGTCGCAGTC